GGATTGTGGGGCTGGCGCGGGATCGGGTAGTGTTTTGTTCTGCTGTGCATGGGGTGGCTATGAGTCAGAAATGACTCGACGGCACCTAACAACAACAACAACAGATTGGGCATATGCTTCTGTTCACCACTTTATTATTATTATTTAAAAAATACATTACACTGAAATAAAATTTATGTACAGTGAAATATGCAATCTGCTCACCACTTTAAAAGGTTTAATTGTTGGATATGTGGTGCCTTCCGAACTTCAAGTCAGCCTGGTCTTCCCTGGTAGGTTTCTCCACTAAAGGGATTAATTGGGTTGCTCTTGATGGATAGACACAAAAACAATGGGGAAATAGTTCATCACTACAAGAAATCACTATTGTACTCACTCTTCACTTATTGACATGGTTAGGTCCCAAAGATCAGGTCATTATGCAAATTGGGCATTATGTCAAAATGATTTGACTACATCAAATCACAAAGTAGGAGATGATTACATTAATAACATAATTGCCAAATTCCATCATTGCATAACTGCCAAACCACTGAGAATTATGGCCCAGCCAAGTTGACACATAACCTTAACCATCATAGTGTTATTCTTGCCTCACACTTCTGTGTTCATTACTGCCAGAAGTATAAATGTGCAAAACAGTTGGGTAGTAGATTTTTTACTATTGTAATAAATGTGAAATGTCAGACAAGGAGATGGTCAATAAGTGAGGAGTAGGTGTACTAGATTTTATATTGATAAATTACCTCTTTTCAGATCTGAATGAAACCCAGGCCATAACTTAATCTTTAGTCTTAACACAACTCTTAATTTACTAAATAAAGTTGCCCAAGAAGAGCTAGCTAAACAATCTTCAAAAGCCACAAACAATACTCTTTGTATTGTAGGTCCAAATCAACAACTATGGGGTGGATTCATCTGGTTAACTCCCCAAGAAGGGAGGCTAAGCCAGGTTGCTCCCCCTGGCTGGGAACAATCTGATCACACAATACGAAAATTCCAGCCATCACCAGACCTATGGGATAGCTTCCAAATGTCTTCCAGTGACTATGCATCAGTTGTAACCTTGCAAGTTGCTGATTGGTTCACTACTGACTGGCTATGATGCTCAGGTGTCTGTTGGGTAGCTCCTAATGGCATCTTTTGGCAATGTGGAACCAACCTTTGGCCCTGGATCCTGCCAGGCTGGTTTGGAAAATGCACTTTTGGCCTGAGCTGGATTCAAGGATATATTTTAACTGAACTCCCTTTACTCATATTAAGAACTTGATTGTCTCAATTACTTTTTCATTGGCTTGATATTTAGTGGCAGAATTCGCACTCTTTTCAGATCTGAATGAAGCCCAGGCCATGGACTTGAAGATGTTACGGCATGTAGAAATATTACCCAAATATGTACAAACTTTCCTAAATGGTAGTGCCCATGGGCTTTAAGATATCAATACCAAAATAGCAATGATGGGGAAAGTAGTACTCCTAAATAGAATGGCCCTTGATGTTCTCACTGCAGTCTAAGTAGCTTCCTGTGCCATAATCAAATCTATATTCTTGACAATAGTGCTAATATTACACTCTATGTTAATCATATGCAACATGTAGTATCTTGCCTTAACAATCCTGTTCCTTCTTTAACTAATATAAGTAATTGGCTTTCCTGTTGGGATGGGTGGTGGAAAAAAATGCTACTTTATTTTGGAATCTTTATATTCCCCATTATTTCTATTATTGTAGCTGTAAAATACCATTTTGCTTTGGTTCAACACACTTTATCCATGAAATGCTGTACTTCAAAACCATTTGACCCTTCATGTAAAATCATGCTGGTTTCACAGGCTTTCACAAGTGATCATATTGTTTAATCACCTCCCTTTTGCTTCCCTGAGCACATTTCATCTTGATTTCTATCAGTCTGTCTTGGTTACTGAGTTCTTCTAGTCACTTTGCTGCAATGGGCCCCAAAGACAGGGCTAGGATTTAGGCTATTTTTCCTGAGCCAAGCACCTGTGTCAGGGCTCCTGCTCATCTGGTGTGTTCTCTACGGATTCTACCTTCCTTAAGACATGCTCCCTCCCTGCCCCACCACTTGTTTCTCCATTGCTTACTCCATAGTCCAGGCTTTCATGAATAGTCCCAGTTATTCTTGCTGGGTCAGTCTCGGCTCCCTCCATTCTTCTGCCTGGAAACCAGGGTGATTTATTTTCCTAGAACTCTGCTTTGGACACAGCACCTTCTATTCTTAAATCATCAGAGGATTTCCATTAACTATGGAATAAAATCCAAACTTCTTGGCTTGACTTGGCTTGAATTTTGAGTTTGCCACATTCTTATGCTTTTCCTGCCCTCTGCCACACCCAATCTGATATGTATTGTCCACCTTCTCGATATATAATATTTTATTATGACACACACCCTCACACACATAATTAAAACTGCTTAAAATGTACTTCTGTAGATAGGGCCTTGGAAACCCAAGGGGGGTCGCTGTGAGTTGGATCTGACTTGACGGCAGTGCATTGCATTGTTGTTTGTCATTGTAAAATGTGTTTTAATGGTAGGCATTGCCATGGATCCTTTGAGGGAAAAGTATAAATTATGATATAAACAGGTAAATACTCATAATATCCCAATGCCACTGGCCAAATTCAATCTTTCTTCCTAGAAAGACCTCCTCACTCCCCTCAGTGGGTTGAGATCTTACCTGTCTCTCAGATGACAGGTCGAGTCTCCCTACTCTGGCCCATAGTGAGCACTCACTTCCAACTTTTCTTAGTTTATAACTTGATGGTAACGACTGGAACCAAGTGTGGCCTCAAGTCTCAGCTTTTCCTTGTAGGTGTGAATCCTACACTGTCACTTCCAGTTGAGTGACCTTGACTAAGTCATTTATCCCTGAGCCTTGGTTTCTGTATCTGTGATAGGGAAACTAGACCACCTATTATAAGGGACATGGGTGGTTAAGCATTCCGCTGTTCACTGAAAGGTTGGTGGTTCAAACCCACCCAGCAGCTCTGTGGAACAAAGATTTGCTCTCTGCTTCTATGAAGACTGCAGCCAAGAAAACCCTATGGGACAGAATAGATTCAAGGGCACCAAACAACAGCAACTACCTATTATACATTGTGACCATAATGATTAAATAAAATCCTGTATGCAGACATCTGTATTAAGAAGTAGTCTTTGTTGAATTGTGTGATATATATATATATATATAAAATGTTGTTATCTATTTATCTATCTGTATCAGTAAACTCACTGCCATCGAGTTGTTTAATTCCAACTTATAGTGACCCTCCATTGGGTTTCCAAGGCAGTAAATCTTTCACCAGGGCTCCTTTATATATATATATTATATATGTGTGTGTGTGTGTATACCAAACCATGTGTGTGTGTGTGTGTGTGTATATATATATATATATATATATATATATATATATATGAGGCATTTTGCTTCTGTAACTATTAACAGCCTTGGAAATCCTATGGAGTTGTTCTATTCTGTCTTATAGGGTCATTATAAGTCCAGATCAACTCGATGGCAATGGGTTTATATGTGTTAAACCCAATTTATAAAGAAAAGAAATAAAAGCAGTATTGTCTGTGGTTAGGACAGACTCTGGGCTCAAACTTTGGCTCTGTCATTTACTGTGTCACCTTGGATGAATTATTGAACTCCCAATGGAACTCTCAATTGTTCGGTTTCTATCTATAAAATGGAAAGATGGGTTTATTGTGAAGACTAAATGAATTAACATATGTAAATTGCTACAAGCCTGGCAAGGGCAGAGTGATAAGCTATTATTTTGTAAAGCATATATTAGGCATTCAACAAACAAAACAGCTTCCTCCTCATTTGAGGATGACATTTGCTATCTCTGTGCCAAGTCTGACCTTCCTCATGGCAGAGGCAGTGGCCCGTAGGTTCTTCTACTCCTGAGCCTGGCACCCTGCCCAGCATGAGAAGGTGCTCAGGTGCCGTTGTTGATTCTGAACTCAGCATCTTGGGCCAGCAGGAGGATGAGGACTTTTTCCAGCATCCTGGAGAGGAAGACACCCCACAAGATGGACTGCTCCAGTGGCTGCAACAGTGGGCTCAAACAGCAACGATTTTGAAGATGGGCACTATTTTTCATTCTGTTGTGCATAGGGTCGCTATGAGTCATAACCCACTTGGGAACACCTAACAGTCACATATTTATAGAAAGGAGCCCTGACGGTGCAACGGCTAATCGCTGGTTGCTAAAGGCAGGCTGGTGGTTCCCCCCACCCAGTGGCCCCACTAGAGAAGGGACCTGGCATCTGCTCAGAAGATTAGAAAACCCTACAGGGCAATTCTGCTCTTTCACAGGGGTTCGTTTTGAGTTGGAATCGACTTGATAGCACCTAATAACAACACAGTTACAAAGGCTAAGGTTTCAAAACTATGTTTCTTGCAGCAAACACAATGGGAAAAAGAGAGCTGAGTCTAGAATGGAGGGCTGGGTGGGGAAAAAAGGTTGGCTTCCTTTCTCCTCCCATCACCTCTCCCTCCCCAGGTCACGCTGTTAATTGGGCTCTTTGGGTACAACCTTGGCGGGTGTGAGGAGCTCCCACCTCAGGCGCCTCTAAGGGTTGGGGCAGGGGCCATCGGGTCTCACCTGAGTGGCCCGCAGCCCACCTGCCTCTGCGCCTCGGAGTGGCCTCGGAGAGAGCCCAGCCTGACCTAGGTTGGCCTCCCGGACCCGCAGCTTGCTTCCAGCCACCACCCGCTTGCCGCCCCCGCACGGCCACACCTCCTCGGGCCCCGCAAGGGTTAAGGCAGTGAAGAGGAGAGGTTTGGGCTGACGTCGCTCTGGCTGAAGGTGGTTCCCCCTCAGATGAGGATGGGCGAGCGTGGCGAGCTGAAACCCGAGCTCCGGCTCAGCTGGGGCTTGGGGAGGTCCCTGTAAGAGCTGCCTGCCGCCTTCCTCTCCCGGTCCCTCTTCTGCCTCGCAGCAGTCACTCGGGGCACCGCCGCGGGGAAGATGGAGCTGGGCTGGTGGGCGCAGCTGGGGCTCACTTTCCTGCAGCTCCTTCTCATCTCGTCCCTGCCAAGAGGTACTGTGGGTACTTTTCAGGACACCTTAGGACGGGGCATCTCCTTCCTGAGGTCTGGTGGGGAGCAGCAGTGGGGGGATTAAAGAGTGTCGTGGTGGGGCTTCTGTTGATAATCTTGGAGGCTTGGGGGGTGGTGCTGGAACGCCTATTGCCCTCCCTGAGAATGTGACACCGTTTTGTCCTATCAACTTGTGAGCCTGAATTGCCTCAGGAACGGGTACCAGTTCCAGTTTTATTTCCTCTTTTTTATTATTATTTATTTTTTAAAAAGCACAAAATTACCACGGGGAATCAATTCAGTCTAAGTTCTCAGCTTTGACTTGGAGAAGCTCAGTTTTCCCTGGAAAGAGCTCCCTCAGAGGTGAGCGGGGAAGGAAAGAAAGGAATAGAGAGCAGAGCTCACAGCAAGCAAAGCCAGCACTTACTGGGGGGTTCCTCCTGGGGAGTCTTGCTTGCAATCTTAGCACTGCCCTTCAGAAAGATCCCAGGCAAGGGAGGTCCACCCACTCAGCCTATAGGAACTTCTTTATTGATAAGGATAAGAAAGAAGCAGTGGCTGAGGTTAAAAGTGCAAGTTTCTTCTGGGATGCACAGTGTTGGGAAAGAGCCTTGGTTTCTTTGTTTTTCACATGCCATTTTCTGAGGCACAAACCCATGTCAAATGGGTTCCCAGGGGCAGATGTGGCTGGGACAGGATTCCCAGTTCCTGGGAGCCTCTTGACCTAGCTGAGGGCAGAGCCAGGGCATGGTTTGTCTTGGAATTGCTCGCTGGCAGACAGGGAAGTGAGGACTTCTTAGAAATATCTGTCCTTAAATGCCTGAAGGTGTGAGACTTTAGGAGATGAGAAGAGCTCTTCTGAAGTGACCAAAAAAACAAACTCACTGCCTTGGGTTTCTAAGGCGGTATCACTATGGAAGTCAATTGCCCATCTTCCTTCTGAGGAGTGGCTGGTGGGTTTAAACCCCCAGCCTTCTGGTTAGCAGTCAAATGCCTTAGACACTAGGCTACCAGAGCAGTTTTGCGTAGGGCAGGGTACATGTGGGTGTTTACCACTTTCCTTTCTGTGCTGGTTACCTGTTACCTGTGCTCTACCTGAGTTGTGGGTGCTCCATTGCTGCAAGTAGCTGCCAAGTGCCTGAGAATAAAACAGGGTAAGTGGGGTGATAAGTATGCTAGATGCAATATCCAGTTGAATAGAAGGGGAATGTAGCTATAAGCCACATTCCTTCATGATAAACAAAAAGCTGAGATACATGAAACCCACCTATTTTGGCCACTATTTTCCATCTACCTATAGCTTTTCCTGAGTGGTGTAAATGACTACCATGCTTGGCTGCCATTAGAAGGCTGGTGGTTCCAGCCACCCAGAGTTTCCTTGGGAGATCTCCTTCAGAAAAATCAGCCACTGAAAACCCTGTGGAGCACAGCTCTCTCTGACATACAGGAGGTCGCCATCAGTCAGAATTGACTCCAATGGTGGTATATCCTGCCGGCCCGAGGTGAAATTTTCCTTAGTGATTTGCTCTCAAAAATGGCAAGTGCTTTGTTTGAATTTTGCCTCAGTGGCATCTGGAGCAATAATGAAAAAAGAAGGAACCATAATGCCCTAATAATCTATAAACCAAAATATCTGTCCCAGAAATCACATTGATGACCTTGCATTAAGACTACATTCCTCCCTGTTCCATCTCTACCTTTTAGATCCAAACCTCCAGGGGCAGGGGCCTTCACCCAACTCCAGAGGAGCCTCATTCCTTCCATAAGCACCAGTACTCAGAGGACCAGTTTCCTCCTCATGGTTGCATGAACCATGTCCTGCTTCCTTTTCATAATGTGGCAGGTGAGGTGGCTCAAACCCATGAAAGTTAAAGAACACAGCTCAGCTGCCCATTTTGACTGACCCAGGAACCGAGAAACCCATTTATGCCTAACCTGGGAATCTCTTTTACCTTTTGCTGTGGAAAAACTCCAGGGAGGATGCATGTTGTTTTGGCCGTCACAGCTGAACTGTTCAGTTCACAGACCAAACCAGAGAGGAACTTCACTGTCTTTAGCACAGGGCTTCAAACGAGTTCATTCTGGTTTGACAACCCCTGCTGAGAAATTGCATTTCCACCCCAGATATACTGACTCCAAATCTACATTTTAACAAGATCCCCAGATGATTCTTATATATACATAAGAATTGTGTGTAAGCAAGACTCTTTCAGTGAAGTTATTCACTTAGAGGGAAAGTGGAGGAGCAGAGTGGAGAAGGAAAATATTTCATCAAGTAGCAGGCAAGTCCACTCTGCTGGAATTCTGAGTCTAGCCTTGTCAAGAAATGCTTGGAAGTGTATTTTCTCTGTCTCATTACTTTTTTTTTTTTTTTTTTTAAGTATTTACTGAAATGTAAACATCTACTGGGATGCGACAGAAGCTTGTTTTGCTCAGTGGCATGTGATACAGGCTAGAGGACCAGAATCCAAACATTTGGCCAAATGATAACCCAGCATAAACAGCATGTGAGGGAAAAACCCAACTCCCCTGACTTCACCAGATCACAGTAGCTCTGCCAGCATGATTCGGCCTGAGAGGAAAACCTCATTTAAAATATGCTACTCTTGGGAATGAAACCTTAATATGGATAACTTCACAAGTGTTGCTTCCAATAGACAGTAACTGGGGGGGG